TTATTGGCAGTACATGTAAGGTGATCATTTGACGTTTCTTTTTGATGTGTGAAATTTGTGATTTGGAATATGGTGCAGAGGCCCTCTTTTCTTGGGTATATATTGTGGTACTGATTAAGCATGCGTTCATTTGGGCTGAAAATAGGAAAGGAAAAGGGATTCTCAGCGCAAGAAATTCAAAATTTAGCTAATATGTGTGTGGATAATTCATAGTATGTTGGCTCTTACAACTCTCCTTGGTTTTGTTATCATACGTCTGCAGATATTTCTGCAGAAACGAGCGGTCTGATCAGGTAACAATAACCTAGTTCTCTATTCATACCTTTTATTTCATCAAGTTATATTGTTCAGTGCTGGGAGATGGTATTCATGTTCATACTTCACATTATGTATAATGTATTTACCGTAGCATTTTGATCCCTGATTTCTAATTGTTTCATTCTAATTCTTCAGAAACCATCTACTGATATTGTCGAGCTCTCATTAGTCATGTTCAATACTCATGGCCCTTACAGTGGTGCGTACCTTATTGTTGTACTCAGTTGCAGACCTTTGTGACACTCGTATTTCTTTACAAATTGAGTCATACTTCTCTCTTGGTCCAAGAATTTTTAGCTACACGGATTGTTTCTTTCTTGTCTCTTTTCTAGTATCTCAATTTGTTTATGTAGTGCAGGGTAGCTCTAAGTCTAAGGACTATGGTCAATGCCAATCTAAGTCTACATTCTTTTCTTAGGTAGTACTGCATTGTGGGTATGTTTTGAATCTGACCTTTTTGGTTGAGAGAAGCGTGTGATGCCCAACATAGGATTCAATATTTGGTTGAGGACAATATAACCAAAACTATTTAATGCCTTCTCTGCAACAATTGTTTACACCTTAGGTCTGCTTGCTTTTCTCTCTCTATCAGATGTCTTAAGCTTATGGTTTTTGTGATTGCTTTTCATTTGTTCATGAGTGGTCAATGTCTTTGCTTTGGAATTCTTTCAGTACCTCCTAAGTTGCACTCTCAAAAACTCCTCCAAATTAATGTTTTCTCTTATTGATCAACCGTCTTTTTTAATAATGATAATAATTTTAACTCATATCTTGCATTGTTTTCACTTGAACTTTTATTTGTGATTCAGCTTGTCTCGTACAGAAAAGTGGTTGGACTAGGGACATGGATCTGTTCTTTCATTGGCTTTCAGCTTTACCCTTTTCCGGTGGTGGCTTTGATGATGCCGCAATCGCTGAAGGGCTGGCAGAAGCTTTGATGGTTGGTGTTTATTTTTATATTTTTTATCTTCTTTTTTTTCCCTCCTGTTTTTTAAACTATGTGTGAGGCATATGAATTTCAATTAAAACTTTGAACTGTAAAGTATTATAGAATTAGCATTCTATTTGGTATGTTATAGTTATAATGAAACTTTTCCGGGTTGTCGATTACACACACAAATATTATATATATGTATTTATATGTATATTTGTGTATAATATACATGTATACAATATTTATATATATGTAACTGATTTGGATTGCCATTTCCTTTGAATTGATTTGATCTACTTATCTAATTTGATTAAATAGTATGTAAGTTTATCTAATTTAAATAGATTAGGTCCAAATTGATTTTACCAACCTATTTATAATGATGAGATAAATAATTTTATCTACTTATTTAATTGATTCAGTCCACCACTTCATTATGGTATTGCTGAAGATGCTTCAGAAATTTAAATTATTGTGTTGGTTTAGTGGACCTTGCTTGTGAATAAACGTATCTACATTTTGCAAATAAAAAATGGTCAAGAAGTGGATGTAAAAGGATGGTGTGTGTTGTTTCAGACACGAGAGAATCTAGTAATTTTATATTCGATTGCAATCATTTCTACTAAATGTCTTTTGTGGGACCCTGCTATGGAAATCGAGAAAATGACCTATAAGATGCCAATTAAAACCTTTGTTTGAACCTGAAGTGGTGGAAAGCCTTTGTTTAAATGCTAAGGCAAAGGATCTTGTACTTGTCCTTTTCAGGATAAATGCAGAAATGTTACCAATGTGTGTGTGAGTGTGTATACTTTCTTTCTGATGAAAGTGATGGGTTTGTGTTATTCACATCTCGATTGACAAAAGAACTTTAAGTTTGTATTGCCAAAAGGTACATTATTGTTTGCGCTATCTTAACGAACAATATTCTGGTGCTTTGAGCAATTTTTGAGGTTTTAATTGAAAAAAGAGTTTTGCCTACTCCATCTTTGAGTATCATTTTATTCACAATGCCTTTATATTGTTCCGACATTTAAGATTAAATCATAAGCGGAATAGTGGACGCTTACAGATCATTATATCTGTACTTTTCTTTCCTTCTGGTCTTATTTGTTAGTTAAACATGTTTTATGCATTTTCTGGTTTTAAGCTTATGTATAAATATGAATGCAATATTGCAGATGTTCTCTTTTCCCAAGGGAAAACAAACCCAAAATATGGAAGGAGAAAGACACTGTGTTCTTATTGCCGCAAGCAACCCTTACCCTTTACGCACTTCTGTATATCGACGACCATTCCAAGATCCCAAAAGGACTGATGTTATTGAAACACGGATCAGTAATTGTCTTTCCGATGAAGAGGCATTGGCTAGATCTTTCGCTCAGGTAATGGTAATAAGTCTGTGTCATTTTCTTGCCCTAATGATCTGCCAATTACGTGATAATAACTACATGGACCATCCATGAAGTTGTTGTCCGATTCTTGAAAGGCTCTTGAAAGTTGAAATTGTGAAGATCACACTTGAAAAAGCTTATAAAGTTTTTGCCTCAACTGTTGGTTAACCTTACAGAAAAGAAGAATATATCATGTCATGATATATTTTGAGATCACATCAATCATTCATTTGGCTTTTTTTAAAAATTGTTTGATGATATTACCAATTTCCATTACTTGTTAGATTTTATTCACTTGCAGTATGCTATTTCTCTCTCCATTATCTGTCCGAAGCAGCTTCCAAAACTTAGAAGAATCTATAATGCGGTACTGATGGTTATGTTAACTTCATTTTTATTTCTCTTTGGCCAAAAAAAAAACTACCTGCTTTTTTGCCTTTGTTTCGTTCGTTATTATATGCTGATGTGATTCACACTGTGAAAATACAGGGAAAGTGTGACCCACGAGCTGAAGACCTGCCAGTAGTCAGTGTCAAGAATCCCCATTTCCTTGTACTTATTTCGGAGAATTTTATGGAGGCTCGTTCTTCTTTAGAGCTCGGATTTACAAGTTTTCCGTCTAACCGGAACCCTGCCATGATGGATGTGACTGCTGTTCCTCCTGTTTCTGGGACACCTCCAGCTTCTGCCCCAGCAGCAGGTGACATGTTGTATCCTGAACATCTTTTTTCCTTTTTTCTCTCTTTCCTTTTTTTTTTGTGCCTGTTTTATCCTTTCGTAGTGTGCTTTCTTTTCTGCAGCTAATGAATCTGTCATGGTTCGGTCACCAATATCTGTAGGAAACATGTGTCCTGCAACCGTAAATCAGGTAAGATACATATGTTCTCTTGTTATTAAGTGCTATACCACAAACTCCTGTTGATTTTAGTCATTCACATCCCCCAGAAATTTTTATTACGCTTTTCTCTCCTAAACCCATACACGTTATACAAATCTGCTTTCGTAGAATCTCGGTGACCATATTTTTATGAGTTGGAATTTAATTCTTAATTCAACAATCTTGTATCATAATACATGTGGTGTACATCTTTTGTGTGTTAAGCTTATGACAGACCATCTTCCCCATGTACTGGAACATGATACGCTCTGCTTGTTCTGTTTTCGTTAAAGTTTTCATTTTCTTAATTGTTGGTAATATTTTTCCTCAGCACAAACCACCTCATCCCACCCCTTCGATTGCTTTTGCGGATTATGTGTCAGGTATTTTGACCACTGTTTGGGTTATATGGATCAATTGATGAATGTTTGTTCAGGAGCCGATCACTTTCCCCACTGAGACAACTGTAGCATCAGTATTTGGACGGAAAACATCGGGTACGACAGAGCCACCACAGTCTAAGTATGTTAAAGTGTGGGAGGTAAGTACTGTTTTCAAAGTAGTTTCATAAAATTAGAATAGAAATGGACTATTTTTGGGTTCTTTGTAGAGATTTTGTTCTGTTGTTGGGTTTTGTGAAGGAACAGAGCAACTTGTATAAGTACTTCTAGAAAGAGTCGCCTTAAGTTTCTCATATTGAAGAGGAAATCTCAATGTAAGGGCCACCAACATCAGTTGTGAAATTGGAAACTGTTCTGCTAATTTTATTTTTAGAAAGTGGAGAAATCGATTAATCTTTAAATTTTTACCTGAAACGAGGTTCACAGTACGTGCTTGTCTAGTGCAACATTTTTCGGGTTTGCCTCCTTTCTAGATACATCATTAGTAGATAATGCATATACATCTATAGGCAGCTACATAATTTTTAGCATAATAATAATAGGGTATCCTCTAAAATTTATATAATGGAATAATCCAGGGAAACTTAAACGGACAGAAACAAGGCCAGCCTGTTTTCATTGCCGGACTGGAGGTATCTATTACTTGAAATAATTTAGCGAGGAAAATAAATATAAATAGGCTACTACTGCAATGATCATATTGAATGCTGCTTTGCATTTATTCATGGTTCTCTTGTAATTAGCTTCTTAGCATGTTTATTAATTAATTCAACTCAAAATTCTGTCTTTTTCCTTAGTAATTAAAACACGTGTACTTGTACCAGGGATACAGGAAAGCTACAGCTTCTGAGATGTAAGTTTGCTTATGCTTATTACTCTGTGGTACCATTTCTGGAGAACAATGGTGATTATGAGAATACTGCTGGCCTAAAATACTGATTTTTTTATTTATTTTGTTTTGTGTGTGTTTACTGTTTAGGTAACACTTAAACTGACCTGAAATTGTAGCTTTTCCTGGTCATTTTCACACTCTCTCAGGCTTGCTGCAAATTGGCCTTCAGTAATTCAGATAGTTCGCCTCGTACCTCAAGATTACGTTATCAGGTAATATTATCTCCTATAGACAAAAATTATGATTCTGTTATCAAGTAAACTTCATTTTGATTCCCTTTAAAATCGTGTGCTTGTGTTTGGGATTTTGACTTTTCTTTCTGTTGTGCTAGGCAACTCACCAGAAAGTCTGATTTAATTGTTTTTCGGGCATTGAATCAGCATGGCTTTCTTTCGCAGCTGCATGAAAAAAAGCTCGTAAGCCTTTTTCTCAATGCAAAACCTCAAATTTCATTTTCCTACATATTAAAACTTGCAGTTTCAGGGAATTAGTTGACACTTGCAATATTTTTCTTTAAAAGAAAATATAATTATGCAATGTTAACTGTAATATCCTCATAGTTTCTTCTTTTGCATATGCTTGTTTCAGTGTGCAGTTATACCGTTACCATCCCAGACGACTCTGCTGCTCTCGGTTTCTGGCAAAGGGCATCGTTTGATTGGAATGCTTTTACCTGATGTAGGGCGTTTATTTTCTTTCTTCTATTTATTATTTTGTTAATCATTCGCCCTTATCTACATATATAGATTGAAAAAAAAAAAGAAAGTGCAATATATATTTTTTTCAATTATCCAATTTCCTTAACTTCTGTAGGCGCTGGTACCAAACCATCAACTACAGATTCAACAACAGAATGTACAGCAACAAACAGCTTATATTCAAGGTGCCGAACGTTCTCAGCCAGGACATGTCTCGTCACAAGGGCCCACGAAAACCATGTCCGGAGGATCATTCATGAGTTGACAATAATTTTTCTAGCTCCAAAATGATTTTATTTTTTAAAAAAATTTTTGGTTTTATAAATATTTGCTCATCTACTCTCTTCCATTGAGTGTAAAAAAGTTGTGCGGGTGCTATGCTGTATAGTTTAGGCACATGATTAGAGAAGTATTATTTGCTGGAATATTGATGAGGTTTAATTTGATTCGGGCAAATCTAATTTCACTTCATGTCTATTGTTTAATGTTGTTGTATTTTTATTGATTTTTCCCTTTCGGCCATGGATTTTTTTATTTATGCTAGGTTTTGGATCGGCAGATTTCAAACAAAGAGATTTCAAATTCCAGGGAAACAGAATTCGAATTCCCAAATCCAAATTTCTTTATATGTTTGGATTACAATAGAACTGGGAGGTTTTCAGATTACTCCAATAGATTTTATTTATTACTAAGAGGAATTTCAAATAACTCCTCGAAACCTAAAATTTCAAATCAACTCTTGATCCCATACTATGAGGATCACTGCGCCATCCAGGTATATTTCTTCACCTGGATTTATACCTATTGCCTCACACCATCCCTTCGCAAGACAATTGATTTATAATTATTTTTATAAATTCATAAGGAATTTTAAAATAGAAAATATGGAACTTATACATTTTAAATTCTTTTGAAATCCCTCGAATTTTAATTTTATCAATCCAAATTTAGCTTGGATTTGATACTTGTTACTTTATAACCCCTTGGTTAAATTTCAATGAATTTTCAATCCAAACATAGCCTGGTGATACTTGTTACTTTAAAATAAAATCACTTGGTTATTGAGCCATATATACAACCTCCTTAGTCCATTCTTTTGACGAATCAAATTTTGGCACATGACACATTTTTCCCAAACATTAACATATCCATTCAAATATGCAAAATTATTTATACAAACATGTTTGATAAGGCAATTAAATACCTTCCAACTAAACTCCAAAAAGATGAATTTGGAATGTTAACTTTCCAAACAAAAGACTCCACAGAAGTCCAAACTTATATCTATTTCTCAGGATATGCATCATGCGAAAAATATATTACATATACAGACCATGTTTGCGCATACGAGTTTACATGTGTATGCATTATATATATTTTCTTTCCAAATGAGCATCCTCAAATATTTACTTGCTTATGGCCTGATTCCTAATCACATCAGGAGATAAATTTTCCTAAACTCACATAATTATATCCTATAAAAAGGATATGACCTATGAGTTCATTCATCAAATAAATAGATGCTATTTTTTTTTCGTGTTCTTCTTCTTTGCTCCTCTCTCTCTCTTTGATTTTCTGCTGTTGTGCTGCATCATCGTGGCCCAGGAGTTAATTCACTCTATGCGTATCAAGACTGGTAGGAAGGGCTACATGGTTATTAAGGTTGACCTAGAAAAGGCGTATGACTTTCTTCGGTGGGACTTTGTGGATGAATCACTTCGTGCGGTTGGTTTTCCTATCATTTTTGTTCGGAGTGTCATGGCTTATATTCAGTCATCGTCTATGTAAATATGCTTTAATGGGACCACTGGAGATGCTTTTTGTCCTAACCGCGGGGTGCGGCAAAGAAATCCGATCTCGCCTTACTTATTCATTCTATGCATAGAGCGTCTGGCCCACCTAATCCAAAGTCACGTGGACAAAGGTACGTGGCGTCCGATTTCAATTGGAGATGTTCGCGTGCCCCTTCTCATGTTCGCCGATTACCTGTTATTGTTTTTGGAGGCGGCTGGCGATCAAGCCCAGTTAGTTACGATGATACTCTCAGACTTCTCTTCCATGTCTGGCCTTAAGGTGAGCCAAGAAAAAACTGATGTCTTTTTTTCGAAGAATGTCCCACTTGAGCACCGACAGGCCTTAGCTCATTACATGGGATTTTCTGTCACTACTAACCTCGGGAGGCACCTTGGAGTCCCGGTCTTGCATAGCCGCGTTACCAACCAGACATACGACACCATTTTGGATAGGGCGGATGCGAGACTTGCAAGTTGGAAAGCTAACACGTTGTCTTTAGCCGGTCGTCTCGTGTGGTCAGCTCCATGCCCTTCTACACCATGCAAACGGCCTGGCTACCCAATGCGATTTGCGACGGATTGGAAAAGCGGTGTCGTAATTTCTTGTGGGGAAGTACGAACTCCAACAGAAAAGTTCATCTTGTGTCCTGGGATGTGGTTTGCCAACCTAAAGAGCTTGGCGGCCTTGGCATTAAACGACAACATGAGATGAACAGTGCCCTCCTCATGAAGTTAGGTTGGTCTATCTTGACCAAGCCACGTGCTCTTTGGGTTCGGTTGCTTCTCACCAAGTACAAGTTGGTACCGACATTAATGAATGAGGACTTCGTCTTCCCTAAAGGATCTGCTATTATCCGAGCTATTACTAAGGTATGGTAGTCTATGAAGTTCGGGGTGCGGTGGTCCCTTGGCAATGGAAGCACGGCTCAGTTTTGGGGGGATAACTGGACACATAGCCCTCGGCCTCTCATCCACGAAGCGCTGGGTCCGGTCCCAGAACAGCAGCTTGACTGGACAGTTAGTGAATTTGTTAATGCTTCGGGCTAATGGAGATGGGACCTCTTTAGCCACCTGGTGCCGGCCAGCATATTGGTACAGATAGCGGCGCTCATGCCCTCCCCCCCTTCCCCTGAGGACCGCGGGACCGGATACGATATATTGGGGTCTCTCAGAGAATGGGTGCTTCACCACTAAATCAGCCTATCTGTCGTTGTTTCCACCATTCCCGTCGCATGGTCGTGCCGCGTGGCGAGCTATCTGGAAATGGATAGGCACCCAACGGGTCCGCCAGTTTCTGTGACTGGCTTTCCAGGAGAAGTTATTGACTAATGTCGAGCGGCGGCGGTGCCACCTCACCGACTCTTCGACTTGTACAATCTGTGGACGAACTGACGAGTCTACCATACATTGTCTTCGTGATTGCATGGGTGCCAAGCAGGTTTGGCAGAGATTGATCCCTCCGGCCCATCACAATGAGTTTTTTAATGTGTTTTTCCAGGACTGGCTAATTCAGAATCTACATAATGGCTTAAACATTGGGGTCAGTAAATGGGAGACTGTCTTTGAGGTCATGGTATGGCAGATATGGAGGGGCCGAAACGAAAAGATTTTTTCGGCTAAGGCGTTCACTGTTGCTACCAAAGTCTGTGAGGTTTGTTCTTTCGTTCACGGAATCAAAGTTGCCACCTCGGTCGAGAAACATATGGGTGGCTTTGGGGTAGGCGTGGATGTACTTTCATTCGCTGGGAACTCCCTGGAGATGGTGTTGTCAAAATTAACACGGATGGTTCACTCTCGACTTCGTCTGGGATGGCATCCGCCGGTGGCTTAGTTCGTGACGCCAATGGTAGATGGCTGGGGGGTTTTTGATGAACATCGGGTTTTGCTCTATCACGGGAGCGGAATTATGGGGTCTCTACTAAGGTCTACTGGTGGCCTGGGATTTGGGTTACCGTAATATGCTGTTGAAGTCGACAACTCCAGTGTGGTGTCCATGGTGAAAGACAGTTTAACAGACAGCTTTGGTGTTTATGGTAGCGTTGTTCGAGCCATCCGGGAATTGCTCAGTCGAGGTTGGGTGACTTCAGTGACTCATTGTTACAGAGGAGCTAACTTTGCGGCCGATTGTTTGGCCTCTCTGGCTCATTGTTGTCCTGCTGGATGCTAGAGATTATCATACCCACCATCAGTTGTGAAACCGTGGCTACAACATGACTTAATTGGTATTGCTTACCTACGGAATGTAACTCTCTGATGGCCCTAGGCTTTTGCCTCCTCTCTTTGTACCAAAAAAAAAAATCGGTGGGCAACATTAGAGAGAACATAAGCATTCATCTCAAAAGTTTTTTTTGTGCTACTTAAGACTATTTATGTGGTAATAAGATTGTTGTATTGAATTTAATATGAGTACAATATGTTGAAGAATGGTGATGGTGTTATTACACCAATCTAATTTGTTAGGCAATCATATTTATGAAATTTTCATACTTTTATATGAAATAGTTTATTTACAACCTAAAACTATGAATTTTTTGAATGTTAATATTTATTTTCATTTAAAAAGTAATGAAAGATGAATCACTTTACAATTAACATGGAATAATGTTAGTAATGTTAAAGGTTACTGTACCCCACTAGTTGGAATATTTCTACAAATTCTACCCCATATCATTTAATTTCACAAGTCCTTAACAAATTAAGGAGTTGGAGCCAATAAACATATACTATAAATATATATGAAATTAAGGAGTTAGTGGGAAAATGGAGTGAAGAATATACAAGCACAACACAATATAGATTCTAACTTACGAGATTATATTGGCTTTGTATATTAAGGGGTTGTTGTGCACGTGGTATGCCCGCCACTAATTATAGCTACTAATTAATTACTAAATTTGCATGTTAGAATATCTGTATATTTATATAATTATTGATTTCAGCACATGGACTGTCCATTTGAAACACAGATTTCGTGAGAAGCTTTGACGGGAAAAATGCACCATAAAATGTAAAAACAAATTTGTGTTTTTTATGTGATAGAATTTAGTTAGTAATTAGGCAAGTCAATTTGCCAAACATGTAAATAAAATAAAATGTATATGTTGAGAAATGTTATATTATTTTTTAAAAAATAAAATTTCACCTCTCAACATGACTTTTTAAACATTCCAATTTTGTCATGATTTGTTATAACATCTGTTTTTGGCAACAAGTGCCACATTTTTCAAATATGCAATTCTGTCCAGATTTTTTTTTTTTCTTGGCAAAACAAAACAGTGCATAATCTATTTTTCTTGGCAAAATAAGTTTTTCAATATAAAATTTATTTACTCCAAATTAAATTGTTCAGTTAAAATACTTGTTGTTATTTTTTACTATTTTATTTGCGAAATACCTATTTTTCTTTTTTCTTAAAATTGATGGTCCAATATGAATATGGTGGTATCCAATACTCGTGGCATTTAGTGAACGCTTGTATGTGAGCCCATACAAATTAAAATAAAATAAAATGGGGACAACTTCAAAATAATTCTTTAGTAATACAATAAACAACAATTAAAGAAAGTGAATATCCCCTCGTTTTACCAAAGAAGATAACATAAATAAAGTGAATATACTTGCCCAACCAAATCATTGCTGACTAATGCCACATTAAACAATGAATTAAATTAATAAACACTAAAATAATGCCACTAAACTTAATTTAGTGGCGACTGAGTAATATGACTCCAATTGAATGAGAATATTCTTAAAGCGGGTGACCATTAATTTTTCCTGCAAAACTATATTAGTTTTTCCTCCACTATATTGGACAAATAAAACAATGTATTTTTAACGTTTGTATATAAATTAAATTGCACATTTTAGTGCCTTAATTGGTCCTTTGATGTTTTATCATATGAGTTAATTAATATTTCTTAAATACAACATTAATGAAATACCTATCTGTCCTATTTTAATATTTTATTTCTGAAAAAAATAAAATAGATTTAAAATTCTATTTCATTAATTTAATATATAAAAGAGTGTTCCTATTCTTTTGCTATTGCATTTATAGTTTATACCACACCAAACTTCAAAATTACAATCAGTGAAAATTCTCGGCCAGAAGACTTGTTTTTTTCACTTGCCCGTCTTATCCTATTCCTATCATATTTTTTTTTTTTTTTTTTTTGGACTCTTTCAAATATTTATATACCAAAAGAAATAACCAAATTTAGATGGTTTCCTCAATCTATATATGTAATTTTCACGGTGTTCTTTAAAAAAAAAATGCTATTTGGAATGTCGCAATAAAAATCTTAAAGCTTCCATNTTTTTCGTAGTGTCTGTAATTCAGTAGAAATCAATTTGTTTTGTTTTTTTTTTTTGCAATTGTAAAATATTATATATATTCCATTTTTTTAAGTGCTCGCTGTCCTTAACTGTGCACCTAAAGCTATTAACATCATTTTGGATTTTTTTCATAGAATTACGTTGTTTGATCACATGGTACAACGTTCTACAGTTGAACACAATTGAGCTCTCCATGGAAGTTAGTAGGAAATTTCTCGTTTTAGACCATTTCAAAAGAAATATTCTATAGAAAGAGAGATAAGTTTGATTCTTATTTGCTCCTTAATTTTATTCCTGATTTTCTTCCCCACTTTCATAGGTTCTCTGGGCCATATTTGTGAGAAACTAGACTATACAGTATAATCAAAAAGTCTGTGCCAGTTGACAAAACACAAACAAATATAAATGACATTAATTAAATGCCAAACCACATCATAAAAAAATCAATAATAAAAAAAAAATAAAAATTAAATTACTCTGTTGTCCACCAAACTTGGAAACTCCATGCACGATTAATCAATTCAATAATACAGAAATCACATGCACAAATACCATAAAAGATACCAAAATGACCCAAAAAAAAGTCCGGATGTCTGTATCCTCTACAATCAGCTTCTACAAATTTTCACGTAAACTAAAACTAAAANTCACGTAAACTAAAACAAAAAAAAAAAAAAAAACATTAGAAAATAAATCCCATTAGCTAATTTCGGCAGAGGTATAATGCGGCGGCATCCATAGGCCTCCGGCTACCACCACGAATTGTGGTGGTTGAGTGGCGGCAGAGTTGGTGGTTGTATTATGCACGGGCGGGCTTGGTCTTCTCGTGTGCAGACGATATTTCTACAAACGAGGATAAAAGTCGAATCATAATAAGTTAATGAAGTTTGCATATTGAATCTAAAAGTTGGAAAGACGAACAACAAATGTTTCGAAAACTTTACGCGCTACTTTGCTGCTTTAACCGAATGCCGACGTTCGCCTTTGTTAAATATTCGCAAGAATGATTGAAAATTCTGGATTTTGCTAGTAATGGATGAATAATGTAAGGAGTTATCGGCTGGTAAAGTTGATAAGCTATTTTATAGCTTTTAAGTAAATTTTGAGCTTATAGCTGATAGTTTATGACTCATGGCTAAAAAGCTAACTTATATGATAAAAGTGTTTGGTAAAATTAGTTGATGAGTTAACTGAAATAAAAATTCCAATAAGTTTATTTGAAAAGCTACTTAAAGATGTTTATGAGATAAACTTGAATCTTGCTAAAAAAACTCTTCCTCCTAAGCCACGCTTATTTGAATGCAGAAATTTATAAACTAATCAAATAAGTTATAATCTAACTTATATGCTTACCAAACGCAGTTCTAAGCTCCACAGATGATTATGAATGATGCACATAGAATGTTCGATGCTTTGACATGAAAAACATTTGACAATACTTGAACAAGGATGATGAGGCAATACATTGTACCAAATTTCGACTTTCCTCTGCCACACTAAGTGCATGCTTGGATACAAGTTTTTTTTTTTTTTAAAAAAAGAATTCAATCTCAAATCAAATCAAATTCAACTTTAACTCAACTCAGCTATCTCAGTATTATCAATATAATAAAATAATATCAATCAATCATTCTTATACATCGCATCAACTTTAGTTCACTATTCATTCATTCACATAATTTTAACTATCAATCATATCTCGTCTACTTTTTCATCAAATCAATATTAATTATTTTATTTTAAATATTATTTTAATACAAACGCAAAATTTTACTCAATCCCAATCCAACCTACTTCTCAAAATTAACCTTGATTAACCAAAAAATCCAATAAATAAAAAACATTATAGACAAGCAAGCCCTAAGATCATCTTCAGTGGAACATTGTTCATTTTGTGTTGTATGGCATGTAGGCCTGTAAACGAGTCGAGCTGAGCTCGAGTTAGGATGCTCGAGCTCGAACCCTTAACAAGTCGAACCGAGCTCGGTTCATTAAATGAACGAGCCAGAAATCGAGCTCGAGCTCGGCTCGTTAAGGCCTCCAGCTCGAGTCTTAACGACCCAATCTCAAACTTTAACGAGCCGAATTATAGAAAATTACATAAAAATTCTCTTTTCGAGCCCTATCGAGCCGAGTTGGCCCGTTACTAAATGAGCTTTAAATAAGCTCGAACTCAACTCATTAACACCTCGAGCTCGAGCCGAACTCGAGCCTTAACGAGTCGAACTTGAGCCAAGCCAAACTCGTTTAATTTAACAGCACTAATGGCATGAACAAATGAAATTAAAAAATCTGTCTTCAATGGTTAGTGTCAATTGTGGTATCATTTGTGATATATAAAACTGTAATTGGTTGGAGAAGAGAGATAAATCAAATAATAATAGAATAGAATACATAATAGAAGTTGTTTAGAATGACTTCTACATCTAGAAAGACTTCTAGACATTTTCCATGTCATATAAGATAATTTGTTTTATTTAGCAACAAAATAAAATAATGGAAAAACCATTGGAGATGCTCTACTAAACATCTTTCAGGATATCAAGAGACAAAATGTAAGTGTAAAAACATATAAGCACAAACCTGCAAATGACTCTTAACCTCATCATTTGTCAGCCCATCAACTTTCATCAACTCCCTAATTTGTTTTGGTGTAGCAACTGCATTTCAGGAGCAAATTAAAATTAATAAGATCATCACAATCTAATTTTTTTTTCTTTGAAAAAAAAAACACAAAGTTTTAATTCAAGACGTACGATGTGAACCACCGAGTTGACGAAGGGCTTGCAAGAACTTCTGGTGCAACTCATTCGACCAACATCTCCTTGCCTTTCGAGAATTCCCTTCTTTCTCTTCCTTCTTGTTGCCATCATTCTTCACCTCACATTTTCTTGGTGAATCCTAAATCATCAGAAAGTCAAAATGAAAAAGGAGAATTAATAAACAAAGCATCATAATAACACAAAAAGATTGAATTTTTGTCCCAAACTTTTCCAATCTCAGATATTGAAATATATTGAAGAAGCAAACTTTTTCATTTTTTTCTTAAACTAAAGTTGGCAGTCTTTTTTTTTACTAAAGAAGCAATTGTGGAAAGTGCTTTACACATGAAAAAGTCTCAAACAAGAAGCTTAATTTGAAAAAATCAAGAAACTGCCTTTTTAATTCACACGTCAAAAAGCTTTGTGCCTTCATAAAAATACTTCCTTTATGTACCAAAACACTGAAAATTGAAAATCACCTCATTGGAATTAAGATCAGGGTTTTGATTCCAGAGCTGGACAGATCTAAGCCAGTCAGATTTCTTGATATTACTATCACCAATATTATTACCACTTATTTCACAAACATAATTATCAGCATCAATCTTTGAATTATTGGGCTGTTGATCATCATAATCAGAATGAGGTAAAGCCCTCTTGATGGGAATAAATTCTTCTAAAACAGGCAAATCACTTGATGACTCCTCAGGGCTTTCTGATTGGCCGTTTAGATTACTCTCTGTTGTTGTCTCTGATAACTGCTGCTTGCATAATTCAATGGCTGCCCAGAAAAAAATAAAACAACAAAACTT